CGCAGTGCAGGCTTTCTCTATCTTATTATTATTTATCGAGTGTATTCATTTGACTACCAAGGTTAAAGTGAGATTAAAATTACCAATTTGGTTAATCTCCTACCTGAAGAAACATACATCAATTTGTCCCAGAGAATAGCGGGCTAACAAAAATATATTCATGAACTCGTCTTGCTTGTCAGCATCATCTTCATAACTTATGTGCTGTCCCTAGGGCAGTCGATGCTTACATATATGTCGGAAACACCATCTTGCACAAACTCCGGCACTACTAATCAGGCTTTGGCTTTTTCAAAGGGCCACCACCTTTAGCCAGCATGTTGTGACGCAATGCTGTTGTTTCTCTGCATTTTCTACGATAAAAAATTTGCTTGAATAAATAAAAGTATTTTACCTCTGTTTCAATTTGTTTCACAATTTTCGTAGCTGTTCTGAATTCCTTAATATATTATCCTCGGACTGGCAAGTATATATGCTTGGACATCATCATCATCATTATGCAACCTTTTCTGTCCACTGCTGGAGATAGGTCTCTCCCATTTTTGCCACTCTTCACGGTTCTATGCTTCTTGTTGCCATTTCTTGGATATTCGTCTAATGTCGTCCATCCAGCGTGTTGGTGGTCGTTTTCTGCTGCGTTTGTCTTCTCGTGGGCGCCAGTCAATTAGTTTTCTGGTGCATCTTGTGTCTTTCAGTCTCGCTATGTGACCTACCCAATTCCATTTCAGCTTGGCTATACGTTCAACGACATCACTGATACCTGTTCTTTTCCTTAAGGAAAACATGCTTGGACCTAATGGAAATTTATTCCCTCAAAAGCATATTTTTTATAATATATTACATACCTTAAAATAATTCATCAAAAATTATTTTTGTTAATACACAAGATGCCTCTTCTTCAGAAATGTATGACATCGGTTGCTTTACATTTAACACCTACACTCACCATCTGCCTATTTAGTTTATTCATTTTTTTTTTCATGGGCATGTTTTAGTTCACTGCGCATAATCAAGTTTTCGGCACCAGCAGTATAAATTTTAGCTTTACGTTCACTAAAACTTTTAGAGCATTCCATAAGGTTTTGCTTGCAAGTAGGTATTACAAAATGAAAATGAAAATAAACTTTCTTAAACTCAAGTTGGTTTTCCCAGAACTTATAATCCCTTGCTCGGGGACCAGTTGAGTGGTGTCATTAAAGTACCGTAATTAGCATCGGTAAAAATTAAGGGTAAGATTATCTTCTACTACCTCATCATCATGCAACCTCTTCTGTCCACTGATGGACACAGGTCTCTCCCATTTTTCGCCACTCTTCACGCTTCTGTGTGTCTTATTGCCATTTCTTGGGTATTCGTTTAATGTCGTCCATCCAACGTGTGGTGGTCGTAATCTGCTGCGTTTGTCTTCTCTTGGGCGCCAGTCAATTAGTTTTCTGGTCCATTTTGTGTCTTTCAGTCTCGCTATGTGACCTGTCCAATTCCATTTCAGCTTGGCTATACGTTCGACGACATCACTGATACCTGTTCTTTTCCTTAAGGAAAACATGCTTGGACATAATGGAAATTTATTCCCTCAAAAGCATATTTTTTATAATATATTACATACATTAAAATAATTCATCAAAAATTATTTTTGTTAATACACAAGATGCCTCTTCTTCAGAAATGTATGACATCGGTTGCTTTACATTTAACACCTACACTCACCATCTGCCTATTTAGTTTATTCATTTTTTTTTTCATGGGCATGTTTTAGTTCACTGCGCATAATCAAGTTTTCGGCACCAGCAGTATAAATTTTAGCTTTACGTTCACTAAAACTTTTAGAGCATTCCATAAGGTTTTGCTTGCAAGTAGGTATTACAAAATGAAAATGAAAATAAACTTTCTTAAACTCAAGTTGGTTTTCCCAGAACTTATAATCCCTTGCTCGGGGACCAGTTGAGTGGTGTCATTAAAGTACCGTAATTAGCATCGGTAAAAATTAAGGGTAAGATTATCTTCTACTACCTCATCATCATGCAACCTCTTCTGTCCACTGATGGACATAGGTCTCTCCCATTTTTCGCCACTCTTCACGCTTCTGTGTGTCTTATTGCCATTTCTTGGGTATTCGTTTAATGTCGTCCATCCAACGTGTGGTGGTCGTAATCTGCTGCGTTTGTCTTCTCTTGGGCGCCAGTCAATTAGTTTTCTGGTCCATTTTGAGTCTTTTAGCCTCGCTATGTGACCTGTCCAATTCAATTTCAGCTTGGCTATACGTTCGACGACATCAGTGATTCCTGTTCTTTTCCTTAGGTCTTGGTTCCTTATTTTGTCTTTTTTGTCACGCCGAGAATCGGTCTTTCCATGCGGCTTTTAGTGCTGTTGTTTTTGTGAGAGTTTCTTCTCCGTATGTCATAATAGGAAGAACTTCTTCTTCTTCTTCAGTGCCTTATCCGGTCCGGATGTTGGCGATCATCAAGGTTATCATGGTTTTGTTGACTGCTCTGCGAAACAGCTCCGCTGAGGTCATCCCAAACCATTGTCGGGGATTTTTCAACCACGAGATACGACGGCGTCCCGGTCCTCTTCTGCCAAATACTTTACCCTGCATAACGAGTTGAAGAATTCGATATTTTTCTTCGTTCCGCATCACGTGGCCGAGGTACTCAAGCTTACGTTTTTTAATTAAATTAAGCACTTCTTTTTCTTTTGTCATGCGCTGTAGGACCTCAATAGGAAGAACGCATTGATCAAATGTCTTCCGTTTCATAGCTATCGGGATGTTGCTCTTAAAGATCTATCTTAAGGTGGAAACGCATTAGAGAGTCGCGGACGCGACTCGTCGCGAACAAGACAGTCCCAGACTCATACTTCAGTATTCGCACTTGGCAGTCGCGGACTCGTCGCAGTCTGCGCAAAAGTTCACATTTTTCGACAACCACAGTGTTGCTCACATCGATTGAGTAACGTGAAAAAAAAATGGCTTGTGAGAATTGGCTGCTATATTAGAACAAGAAAAAAGAAAATTAAAAAACCCAAGAGAAAATACTGGGTACATTCAATAAATCTCTCCCAGCCATTAGAACGCGAATTTTGCACATAATTCGACAGATTATGTATAGACAAAATACGTTTTAAACAGTCATTTCGAATGTCAGTTGAAAAATTTAGGCAGCTGGAAAAACTGCTAGAATGAATTCAGTTACAAAATACAAAATTTAGATTTTGTATTCCCCCAACTCAAAAGGTTAGCCGTGTGTCTAAGATTAGGAGTAAAACAAAGATATATAGAGTACCAAAATTTATTTGCAAAAAAATACTTAGGACAAAATTTGTAACAATAAAGTAAAATGGATTACTGGTTCTTACCCATACTGTTTGAGTTATAGCAAACGATTATTTACAATGTTATTTGACGAAACTCTCTACATAAATAATTCAAATTTGTATTTGAGCTTGAAGGTTCAGAAGAATTTTTGTCATGATTTTGTGGTGTAGATTCTATAGTACCAATATATGGCTGACGTACTGGTACATATGAAGAAATGTTATTGATATAATTGGAGTTATATATTGTTGAAGTTTATGAACATGTTGTAAGCTGGTTGATATTCCAAGTGTATGTTGGTCTCGGAGGTGCCTCATTATCTACCTTAATTTAATTTATAATTTGAAATACTTTTCCTTTCAAAACTGCTTGCTAATGTGGTGCGAAAGTTTTTACAATTTTTCTCATACTAATAAAAAAATGTATTATGGGATCATCTGTATCGTTACTTACAGTCGCTCTACTTTCTTTGCGCTTTACGCTGTCTAATAATTCTAAAAAACGTTAGCTACAGAGAGATCATTTCGTGTACTTTTCGATTGTGGATATCTTCTTCTTAGAGATACTGTAGTGCTTGTAGACAGAGTCGGTGTACTGGGAAGAGCTCAGATGGCGAGCACACGTTCACTGCAATTTCTAAGCTGCGATTCGCCTAAATGATTGCTTATTTCTAGCCAACAATTGTCCTTTCGTTGCTAATTTAAATATTGTTTATGTGCAGAATCATATAGTTCTGGATACTTTTGCACTTCGATTATTATCTGCTCGTCATCCATCTTTCCAATAAATAAAATAAGTCGCCTACCTATTACAAGCCCTGATAAATATTACACATAAACGACTTCGACCATCTAAATATTACAAATTAAATAATGACGTGAGAAGCATATTTGTTTAATATTAGCCGAGCGCTTTCATTTATTGTCGAGAATAAACGACAAGTCAAAGTTGTCTTGTATGTGATGTGTTCGCGTCCCTGTGTATACGCGCACTATAGAGTAGAGGGCTTGACAAATCGCGACGGAGACATTTTGAAATTCTCATCAAAGACTGAATCTAGTCCTCGTCGGGACTGTGACTCGTCCGCGACTTCCAAATGCGTTCATGAATATTAAAAATAACGTAAACAATCTAAGCTGGACTAGACTGCGATGAAGCGAGTCGTGTCCGCGACTCTCTAATGCGTTTCCGCCTTTAGTGAACCATAAGCGACGCAAGCAAGTGTTTATCGTCATTGAAATTCACTACTTCTACACTTCTACTACCTACTCAGGACGAATTAAGGGCCTACTATAGGGTGCGTGTACTATATATCCATATATCCACATCCATTGTAACACATCGCGCGTCATACTAGAAATGGAAACTTTCCCACCCAGGTTGACAAATAATACTTCTTTTCCACAAGGAAAATAAAATTCCTTAGTTGGCTGTATACTCACAAATCACAAATTTTTTATTTTAAAATCGTTTATAAAAGATATATTAATTATATACATTTTATAAAGGATTTTTACATAAACCTTTGGTACTTTTGTGTTAGGTCCTATTAATCACGATGTACTTTGTTTCTCTTCAATTAGTACGGAGTCCAGCTTTTTATTTAGAAAATATGCACTTTTTTAAAGAACTCACTAAAATGTGTAACGGGATATCTGAAATAAAATTAGGTAAATGAACGTAGCGGTTATCATAAAAAAATAAAGTTTAATAACAAAAAATTAAAAATAAAAACATAAAACATAAATCCCAAGTTGTCAAAAAAAATTAAAATAAAAACATCACTTATGTTTAAATTCTTAATCATATATTTACAATGAATCATTGTTGAGCATTTCAATATTTTTCACCTCTTAGAACTGCCGATTGTTTTGCTAAACAACGTGTTTGATATAGCAATCACTGGTGCAAAGAAGTGTAGAGGAAACCCACTAAAATATAAAAAAAAAAATTATTTTTATTATTTTAGAAAGAATGATATAATAAAATACATTTTTAATAAACAGGACTATAAACGCAAGACACAACATATACTCCGTTGTATATATACACTGTGTGTCAGCCAAATGGAATAAATTAGTTAATAAATAAATGAGGAAGTATTCGAAAAAACGGTCGAACACGTCGATTAGTATTTATGGCTGCGCATTTTTTCCATAAAAACTTTTTATACGGGGTGTATCAGATAACGGTGGCCAATACCAACTTGCTTATTTTAAATAGAACAGCCTGTATATTAATTAATTTTTAGATTCCTCAGATCATTTTAGACATTTTTTGAATACAATGTCCTATACCTACCTTTGACTGTTTCGGAAATATTAAGTAAAATGGAAAAATTCACATTTATAAAAGAAAATTATTTATTTGTCGAAAGTCGCTACCACTGTCTTAATACTTCTTGCCCATTTAGGTCTTTATTAATGATAAAGTAAGCAAAAACTATTTAAGCATTCCTTTTTATTGATATATTAAAAAAAACAAAAAAATGGTTCATTTTACAGAAATGCACCAAATTACAATTATACAGATGATTGGCTATGGAGATAAGACACGGACGCAAATGGAAGTAGCTCGTTTATTTCACGAAACATTTCCTGATTTGCCGCATATATCTCAAGGGGCAATTAGTAAAATAGAGAAGCAATTCCCCGAGCTGGGCCATGTTGGGAAGGTAAAAAAGAAGATGCCAATGCAATAAGTGAGGATACGAAATTGGCTGTTATACTTGAGTTTGAGGAACATCCACATACATCTGTTTGAAAAGCAGCCCCAGTACTCGATTCATTCTATTCATCGGTTATTGGAATATTACAAGAAAATAAAATGCATCCCTATAAAATTATACACACTCAGGGGCTCATGGAAGATGATTTTGACAGGAGAACGTATTTTTGTGAACAAATAATGGCAATGTTAGATAGTCTTCTTCAAGTGCCATCTCCGCGACGGAGGTCGACAATCATCATAGCTATTCGGACTCTTGAAACGACTGCTCTGAAAAGTTCATTTGATGCTTCTTTTTTCTTGGATCTTTCCCTGCATAATCAGCTGGAGCAAGGTGTATTTCTCTCCACGTGTAATATGTCCGAGATATTCAAATTTTCTTGTTTTAATTGTATTTAAATTTTTTTTATTCATCCTTCTCACAACCTCTTTGTTTGTGACGTGTTCTGTCCACGATATTTTCAGAATTCTTCTACACACCCACAGCTCGAATGATTCCAGTTTTTTCATTGATGTGGCATTCAAGGTCCAAGATTCCATTCCATAAAACAAAGTCGAAAAAACATAGCACCCCGCCAACCTACCTCTTAGTTCCAATTTTAAATCCCTTGTACATAGCACTCTTCTCATTTTGTTGAAATTTGCTCTAGCCTTTTCTTGTTAGACAGTAATGTGATCCAATTAGAACATATTTTGTTTTCTGATGAGTACTCTTTACAGTGATGCTAATCGGCAAAATTGCCGCTATTGGTCCAGGGAAAATCCTCACTGGATGAGAGGTCCCTTTTTCATAGATGGCAATTTGAATGGCAATAATTATTTAGCATTGCTCCAGAATAATGTAGTGCCAACGTTGGTCAACTTGTATCCTGATCCAGGAAACCCACAAGTTCCAGCGAATATGATATGGTCTCAACAAGATGGAGCACAACCCGATTACCAAATCTATGTCTGGCAGTACCTCAACCAAACATTTCCAAATCGGTGGATAGGGAGGTGAGGATCAATGGAATGGCCACCACGATCCCCCGATTTGACGCCATTAGACTTTTTCTTATGGGGATATGTGAAAAGTATTGTATACAAAACTAAACCCACTAACTTAGTTGACTTACGAAGACGAATAACGCTTGCGATTAGATCGATCACATCTGAGATGTTGAGTAACGTTAGGAGAAATTTCTATTCACGGTTAGGGTGTTGTCAAGACGTTCGTGGGGAGCATTTTGAACATCTACGTTGACATTATTGCTTAGATTTGTGTTATTTAGAAGTTTTTGAATATGTTGTAGCGACTTTCGGCAAATAGATAATTTTCTTTGGCCTATGGGTGAAATCCTGTCTGCGTGAAATTTAGGTGGGTGTACAGAGAAAGCATTCGAAAAAAAAATAGGAACTTTACTGTATATTGTGAAACAAATAGTCTTTCGTACAATGTTTAACTATAAGATTGTTGTACTCTGAAAAAAAGTAGATACCATGTTTTGCCATAACACTACTGAAATATCACTAGTGTCTTTAAATTTTTTGTTGTTTATTTGAATATGCAATTGTTATACGATGGAACATTAAACTTTATTTTTATAAAATATTTATAATAAATTATTATACATTCATCAGTTGGCGCTACAGCCCTTCGTGAGCCTTGGCCTGCTTCAAAACATTCTTTCATCCTTCCCTATCGAGTGTCTGTCTTCTCCAGCCGCTCACTCCAATCTCCATCAGATCTTCCTGTACATATATACTATATACTATTATTATATATTATTTATATAAAAAATTACTGCTGCACAATCCCTCCTTAGTTCCAGAGACTTTCAATCTGAACGACTATACAAATCATAGAACAGAACTTTTTATAAATACAATAAACACTACTGATTTGTTTTTATTCTAAATTGCAATAAAAGTGTTGAAGCAATAAAATTTGGTTTAATATTTAGCTAATTACGATTCTGGCAACTGTCAGATTTAACTAAAATGTCTTGCAATGATTCGCGGCATTTTTAACATCCTATATGACGTCAAAATTAATGATGCATTGAAAGAAGGGTTTGGTTTGAACTTTGAATGACGCAAAGCGTATAACCTAATTATGTTTCGTAAGAAAGATCACTGATCTAGAGAATAACAGAAAGGGGCATCATGCAGAGAAGAAAGAGAGGGTAATCTAGAAGATTCTGGATCTAAAGCAAATATAAGCAGTGACAAATGAATATAAGAGACGAAGGATGAAACGATAGAGATAGCAGTATAACTGTAATAGCAATGACCAAAAACTTTTTATTTCAATATTTGCATTTCGATTCAATAAAAAGTGCGATAATCTACGTATAAGATTTACCTTTAAAATACATATTTAGACCACTTTGGTCATTAGACATAGTATTTAGACACAGAAGATTTGTAAGTTAATAATAAACAAAAGAAACAGCAATCAGATAATTATAACGGAGGGGAAACTATTCCAAAGATGCTATCGAATAACCATCATGAACAGAACAACATGAAGAATATGGTTACAAAAATTAAATACTGACTATATGTAAAGTCCTACTGACATGTGAAAAGAGTTATTGACAGCTGATAGATAAAAAAATAACGGAATGGAGGTAGATGGAATACAAATTGATCTAGAAAATTTTGGAGAAACAAAATAAACACAAGTACTGGTAAAAAAGGTGTGACAAGTTGGGAATGGAACAACAATGATATATGAAAGAAATTGGGCGAGCGCGAGAGAAGGCAGTGCAATACTTGGACATTTATTTGTTTGTTTTTAATAAATATAATTTGACAACGGTGTCCATTTTATATATCGAAACGTAAACAACTTTTTATTTTACAATTTTAGATTTATCAATTTTATTTATTTATTTTTTCCATGGATAGGATTTAGTAAACAAACTGAACTGTCATAGAAAACTAAATTTCAAATTATTAAATTATGTGTTGCTTTAATTGATTGTTTTTAAATTGTTTTGAGTCGCTAATAGTAGATAATGTCTTAAAAATCTTACCTGGTATTCAATATAGGATTAGCCTCATTTCCACTAATTATGAAAAAGGGAAATAATACAGAGAACACACAGCCACTAAAAAAAAAATAATTCGATTATTTTAAAATTAAGATACTTATAAGCGTATAGCAACTTATCGCTTATAGAAAATGATTACTTAATTGGCGTTTTTATTTTGAGTACTACATATATAGACAACAAAAACAGCGACAAGACATATTTATATTTCTGTATCATTTAGATGTATCAGAAACAAAGAAATAAGGAAGAAAATAATAAGGAGGTTTCCGATCCCTACATCCAAATGTTCTCTATTCTGTGCCAGTCTTATTAATAGTTAAATAATAGTTAAACGTTCATGCCCGTCAAGTTCTGATAATGCGTAGCAATATCTTTCCTTCAATTATTATTCGTAGCAGTTTATATTTGACATTTCTCAATATGTGGCCTAGGTACGAGGTCTTTCTTTTCTTAATTGTTGTTATAAGTTCTAACTCTCTATTTATGGTGTTTAATACTGTTCGGTTCGTAATGTGTTGTGTCCATGAGATTCTGAGAATTCTGCGATAAAACCACTTTTCAATGGTATCTAGTTGTCTCATGGTATTTAATTTTAATGACCAGGCTTGAACTCCATACAGAAGAACTGACCAAACGTAGCATTTAAGAACTCTAATTCAGATGTCTAAACCTGTTCTAGCCTGTTCTTTTCGTGTTTTTATTTCTATATCTGGATCCCACTTTAGTACTACTCGTATCTGAATTTGTGAACTTGTTCTAATTGAGTGTTATTTAGGTCAACACGACAATTTTCACCGGTTTTGGTAATCACCATTACTTCCGTTTTTTGAAGATTTATTGACAGTCCCAATGCATCACTTGCATCTTGCATTATTAACTCTGTCTAGTTTATTTTGTAGTAGAATTGATATTAAAAGATTAAGGGAACCACAAACAAAGGAACAAACTGAAAAAACTCTTACTGAAAATCTACGTAATGCCCAAGAACTGAATAAAAGTAGCTATAACATTGATCAGAAATGGGAAAATATAAAAGTAGCAATAATTAAAACAGCAAATGAAAACTTAAAACCAAAGAATAGAAAACATAAAGATTGGATGACTGAAGAAATACTACTATTAATGAGTGAAAAAAAAAAATCATTCAAAACAAAAAATCCAATTAAATATAATGAAACTGATCGATTTATAAAAAAGAGAATAAAAGAAGCTAAGGAGAGAATGTTACATGAGCAGTGCCAAGAACTAGAAGAAATTGAGAAAAAATATGACTTTTTTAACATGCATAAAAGAATAAGAGAATTAACAGGAATGAGAAAAACACTTCAAACTAGGCAACTAAGAGATGAAAGGGGTACACTTATAACAGATATAAACCAAAAAATGCAGATATGGACACAATATATAGCACAACTTTCTGAAGACAAAGAGAGAACAGAAGCACCAAAAGAATTTAAGGATGATACTGGGCCTGACATTATACGAGAAGAAATTGAATATGCAATGAAACAAGCTAAAGGTGGTAAATCTCCCGGGCCTGATGAAGTTCCTATCGAATTACTTAAAATTGTGAATACTGAATCTATTGATCTTCTTTTGGATCTATTCAATACCATATATAGAACAGGTATAATACCTAAAGAATGGCTCCAATCAACATTCATACTGCTTCCCAAAAAAGCCAATGCAAAGGAGTGCAATGAACATCGCACCATAGCCTTAATGAGTCATGTATTGAAATTGTTTTTAAAAGTAATTCACAATAGAATACATAAGAAATTAGATGAAGGCATAAGTAATATACAAATGGGATTTAGGAAAAGACTGGGAACACGAGATGCACTGTTTGCATTAAATGTTCTTTCGCAGAGATGCTTAGATATTAATCAGGACGTATATGCCTGTTTCATTGATTTTGAGAAGGCATTTGACAGAGTGCAGCATAATCGAAATTTTATTAAATAAAAACATAGACAGTAGAGACATTAGAAGCATATGTAACCTCTATTGGAATCAAACAGCAAAAGTGAAAGTTGAAAATGAACTGACCAAGGATATCCAGATTCGCCGTGGGGTCCGCCAAGGGTGTATTTTATCACCCTTGTTATTCAATTTATACAGTGAAGCCATCTCAGAATTAGAGATCAGTGAGGGCCTTATAATAAACGATGAGACACTTAATAACATAAGATATGCTGACGACAACGTCCTTCTGGCAGGAACACTAGAAGAACTGCAACACCTTGCTGAACAACTAAATATATATTGCAACGATTATGGACTAAAAATCAATTTGAAGAAAACCAAGTTCATGGTATTTCCAAAAGCACAAAACATCAAAGTTAAGCTAGTACTAGATAATACAGAAATTGAACAAATATCTTCGTAGAAATACCTTGAAGCATCGATCACAGAAGATACTGACCAGACAAAAGAAATAAGATGCCGCATTGAAATTGTGCGGTCAACTTTTAATAGAATAAGAAAACTTTTTTGTAATCGCGATATCAATATATCGCTCCGGATAAGAATGCTTCGATGTTATATTTTATCTACCCTTTTGTATGGAGTTGAAGCTTGGACACTTAAAAAATCCAACATTAGAATCCTAGAAGCATTCGAAATGTGGTGTTACCGACGCATTTTGAAAATATCATGGATGGATCGCAAAACAAACGAACAAGTTCTCGAACAACTAGGAAAACAATGCGAAGTTTTAAATACAATAAAAATCAGGAAATTGGAATACTTGGGGCACATAATGAGAGGTGAAAAGTACGAACTACTAAGGAATATAATGCAGGGTAAAATCAAAGGTAGAAGAAGCGTAGGAAGACGTAAAATCTCGTGGCTACGCAATCTCCGTGAATGGTTTGGATACAGTTCAATTGAACTATTCAGGCGAGTAACCAATAAAATTATAATTGCCAGAATGATTTCCAATCTCCGATAGGAGTGGAACTTGAAGAAGTTTATTTTGTAAGCCTTCCATTTTTCTGCTATCAGAACGGTATCGTCTCCACACCTATGTTGTTAATATATTTACCGTTTATTTTTATACAAATTTTGGCACCGTCTAGTGCTTGTTTGAATATGCATTCAGAGTATAATTTAAAGAACTGAGAGTCATTTATGTCTATTTCACATTTTTATAAATTCGATGTATGATATTTAAAAATATTTTCAGTAGCACATTAAGCTAATGAGCCTAAATCAGCCATTCCTTTAGTATTATGACATTTTCATATACGTTGTTAAAAAGATGTATTATTAGATTTATGTTGTATCATCTACTAGTTTTATTACATCCATTTCTATTTCGTCTGGTCCACAAGCTTTCCAATTTTTTGCACATTGTATCGCATGTTTTACCTCTATGTCTAGGATTAGAAGTCATTGTTCTACTGACATGTGAGAAGAGTTATTGACAGCTGATAGATAAAAAAATAACGGAATGGAGGTAGACGGAATACAAATTGATCCAGAAAATTCATTCCATTTCCCACGTCGACCTCTGTTGCAATTCAGGTCTGTCATCTGCAAAGGATTTTTCCATAAATTTCTTTCATACTTGAATTTGTTCACTTCTTTCTATAATTATGCTTCCTTTGTTGTCAGCTAGAGTCATCCCAAACTTATGATGAAAACTAATTCACTATTTGCACTATTATTTTATTTGCTTTAATTCATAAACCAAATCAACTTCTGTATTATATTACTCCGTAAGGCTCAGTCTTATATATTACTTTCGGTGGCCGAATAACCCTTTAAAGTTTTGATTTACTTCACGAAGCCTCGCCATTTCTTTATGTTCTGTCACATTGTCATTCAATATTTGTCGGGAACGACCTGGGGACGCCCTCATATAGGTTGTGCCGTAAAGAAGGTTTTCGTATATCCGTCATCATTACTTCTTAGTACATGTAATGAGCTATCCAGGATAATTTACGGGAACTTACAATACTTATCAAATAAGACTGTTCAGTGAGTATTCGTATTTCCTCCTCCTCCTCCTAAGTGCCTTCTCTGTTGAGGTTGGCGATCAATATGGCAAATTTCTCTCTGTTCTGGCCTTAATGAATTAATTCATTTCCTCTTGTGTGGGTCCAATATCTGATGTTTCGTAGCCAAGATTTTTTCTTTCGTCCTATGCCCCTTTTACCTTCAATCTTGCCTTCTAATATTACCTGGAGCTGCTTAAATTCTCTATGGAGCATTATGTGTCCTAAATATGACGTCTTTCTAATTTTGATAGTATTGACCAGATGAGGGCGTGTGTTCATTACTCTCAGTACTTCTTCTTTCGTAGTTCTGCCGGTCCAGCTTATTCTTAACATTTGGCGGTACATCCACATTTCATATGAATTTAATTTGTTGACGTCATACTGTTTTAATGTCCAGGTCTCACAGCCATATAGTAATAGAGACCACACATAACACTTTAGTGTTCTCAATCTTATTGAAACTGATAGCTTGGTTATAGAGCATTTTACGCATATTCATGAAACCAGATCTTGCTATTTCAATGCGTCTTCTAATTTTTTTTGAGTGGTCTACTTGACTCTTTAGCTCTCTGCCCAGGTGTATGAAGCTTTGCGAACTCTGAAGGGTGATACCATTTATTTGTATGTTAGGTGTAACTTGTTCATGGGGGTTTTTATGGAATACCAGAATTTTGGTTTTGGAAAAGTTAATGTCCAAGCCCAGCCTGTGACTTTCTTCTGATAATATGTTCTGATAATGATATTAAGAATGTTTTGGTGGTACGTATTCACTACTCTTCTTTATGGCTTGGAAGCATGGACATTTAAACAAGTGCATCTAAATAAGTTGGTGGCCTTTGAATTTTGGTATTACCGAAGAATTCTACGAATATCATGGACTCAAAAAATGTCAAACGCAAAAGTTACTAGAAAAATAGGAAGTGAAGCTGAAATAATATTGACTATCAATAGAAGAAAACTCAAGTACTTAGGCCATGTTATGAGAGGGTAAAGATACTCATTGCAGCTTTTTATGCAAGGCGAAATTCGAGGAAAGCGAAATGTAGGAAGACGAAGAATATCGTGGCTTAAAAACTTGAGGGAATGGTTTGAATGCAGTAGTGCAGAACTATTTAGGGCGGCAGTCAACAGGGTCCACATAGCCATGGTGGTTTCCAACCTTCGATAGAAGATTTAACTTAAAGAAGCAGAATAAGTGGTATCTACATAAACACCTGCCATTAAAGCACTGTACTTTCCTTAAATCTAGTAACAATTTACCATTTTCTGCTTAATTTTTTGTAAATTTTAAAATGTTATGATTTGTTTCTTGCGTTTGGCGAGTTAGTTAGAGTTGACTTGTCGTTTTCGCACATTTTCCATATTTATTTCGCAACGTTACAACACAATGCGCACCCAGAACTCGCGTCTCTTTACTGTCTTGGGCTAGTGTAATATCATCTAAATACACATTTTCAATCAATTTTTTGCGCAAAACTTACTATATATCCCTCTAGATCTTTCAAATAAGAATCGTTATTATAATGAACTATTAGTGCTAGTTAAATCCAGACTATTTAAATTTGTATGGTAAAGAGAACACATCTATTTAACAAACTGTGTAAACTGTAAATTAAATTATCGCTTAAATATATTTTATGCGAAACTTCATCGAACTTTCATTTAGCAATAGGAATATAATAATATGTAATATAACATTAAATATCATACCTTATTACCCACGAGTCTGATAACTGTGTAACAATGGCCATCGGTAAACCAAATCCCATGAAATAAGGCCAATGAGTTTCTATGAAAGACAGTCTTTTATGTAATTCCCATCCCATATTAAACCACTTGTACTCAAAGGCGTAGAGAGAATATAACATACACATCTGAGCTAAAGATAGTGTATATCCCACCATATATATTGGTATATAACTCACAGCCGTAGCTTGAATTAAAAACAACAGTTGGATGAGAATACTGAAGATTGAATCAGCTAAAACTTTGCTTAGGCTCTGAGAAAATACCGGTCTACCCCTACTATGCCTGTAAGCTGAATCTGCAATATCCTACAAAAGAAATTACATTATACTACACATTATACAAACTATACATTATTATATTGTCCTAAAGCTAAATTTTTACTGTGAATAAACCACAATTTGAGTTTAAAATATGTTTATTTTGACGTTCCGATTTCTACATCTGAAATCGTACTCAAAATATAAATTATACAAATTTTTATTGGTATTTGGTAATAAAAAATCTTTTAATATAATCAAATTTTATCTGACTCATTCATATAGACAATTCAGACATAATATATTAAATACAATCTACATTTTAAAGTAGATGACTTTAAAATTATATTGACAATGTTTTTGAGTTGCTTTCCTGGGACGATTTTATTGGAAGATAGTTCTTTCAAGCACATGAATTCAAGTTTAACTTAAGAATACCCGTCAGAAAAACGGCAATCACATTACATGTGGTTGCCTTTAAGGAGTTTTGCTGTTTTCCATAGTCAATGTCATTTTGATATCGTCTACTTTGTTTTCAAAGTAAAAGACCCACTCCTGAGCTGCATAATTTCCTTTTCTAGTGGTCAATTCTATTGATTACTATTGATCTCTTTTTGTCCATAATCTACTATTCAAGCATGCACATCATAATGCCTATTTCAAAAACGTCGGAGATCTCCGTACCAAATTACATGTTGAGGAAATTATTAACTTCAACTATCATAAGAAAAGTGATTGTAAAATAAACTTTATTTCTGTGGTAAATACATATAAAAACTGTTTAAATTGAACTTAAAATAAAGGCATTGTCTATGTTTTATTAGGTGTTGATCGTCTCTCCTTGTCCCCACAGCGGTGCGTCGCTCCATAAGCCGGTACCGAGAATGGCGAACAATGTTGCCACTTTTTATTATTTTCAGTGAATTCTAAACATTACATGAACTAACATCAAGGGTGGTGAGCAGCAATTATGACATTATCGTCATGGTTAAAAGTAATTTAAATAAGGGCTTTTCTGATTGTGAACTCAAATGTGAAGGTTGTAGTGTTTTCCGTTGCGATAGAATTACAATACTAGCCATAAATGCAGCGGAGGTGGGGTAATATTTTTTGTTCGGGATAGGATCAAATCCAGATATGTAAAAATGCAGAAACAAGGATAAAGCGCATATAATATGTCTTCTGTCTAATTAATAATACCCGCTTTGTCATTGATGAAGTCTACATCCCCCACAGTTTTCCCGTGAAATGATCACCCATGCGACAGCAGGTGATCCAGCAATTGATGTGGCTCAATATTTTAGTTATAATACAATTTTTGCGCATAATAATATACCAAATGATTAGAATATATTTTTAGATTCAGTTTTTTCCAATTCTAGAGATTGTGTTGTAACTAAGACCATTGACCCTCATGAATTTCAGTTTGCATCATATTGGTTATGATTTATTTAGTTATACATACATATATATATATATATATATATATATATATATATATATATATATATATATATATAATTCTTTGGAGGGTAACTTTCTTAGCGTCGTTATACAAACTCTATATATATTATATATATATATATATATATATATATATATATATATATATATATATATATATATATATATATATATATATATATATATATATGTTTGTTTTGAGGTTTCCGCGGGAGCTATATGTGCTGTCACTATTTTTCCGGGTTTGACTCCGCGTTGTAAAGTGCTGGTTTTCTCGAAAACCATTGTTTTGGCGACGTTTCGGCAAGGTCTCACTTGCCATTCTCAAGCCTGGTGGAACTACTTCTCGTCGTTACTTGATTAGTACTGGTCAGTACTAATCAGTACTAATCGAGTAACGACGAGAAGTAGTTCCACCAGGCTTGAGAATGGCAAGTGAGACCTTGCCGAAACGTCGCCAAAACAATGGTTTTCGAGAAAACCAGCACTTTACAACGCGGAGTCAAACCCGGAAAAATAGTGACAGCATATATATATATATATATATATATATATATATATATATATATATATATATATATATACTCGCATATATTCTTGCATTTCGACCGCCATCGTTTTCTGTCCATCCATGTGTCTTCTTTGATGGTTCTATCTCTCATGATTTGCTGTACTACATTTTCTTCCCAGGCAACTGAAGGTCTTTCCATTCTTTGTTGTGGTATGTAATTTAAAGCTTTCTTTGGCAATCTACCTTCATTCATTCTCTTCACGTGACCATACCACACTAGTTGTCTCGTTTCAATTTTGTCTACACTGGAATATACAGTATTTGTCCACCTTCTAATATCCTCATTCCTGATATGATCTTTTTTGGATACACCACATGATCTTCTTGGAAAATCCATTTCTACTACATCTATTCTTTTTCTATCTTTTTTCGTGATCTACCAAACTTCTGCCCCATAAGCCATAATAGGGTCTACCAAGGTTCGATAGATTGTCAATTTCGTTTCTTGTCTAATATCTTTAGACCATAGTAGAGTTTAGAATGTTTACCGCTTTTTTTCTCTGCTGCATTTTGTTTTAGATGTCTCTTTTGGTAGTGCCTTCTTTAGATATTATAGATCCGAGATATTTATATTCATTGCATGTTTTTGTGTTTATAATTTCTAACTCTGGATCTTCTTCATCATCTCCCATTTTAAAATACTCTGTTTTGACATATTCATATTGAGGCCCCATTTTTCATATTCTTTCTTTAGTTTTTTAAACATGGAGTCCTTGTGTTCCTTATCATTCGCTTCGACTACCCGATCATCTGCGAAAAATAAAGTTGTCAGACATTTACCACCGCCTATGTCTATTCCCATTCCGAATACTTGTTTCCTCCACTGGTCTAGCGATGATTGAATATATATTTTAAATAAGGTCGGAGATAGACAACATCCTTGTTTAAGCTCCTTTGTTATTGGAAATGATTCAGATATAAAGTTTCCTTCTTTAACGACACTTTTTGCATTTTTGTATATATTTGCGATAGCATCCACATACTCTTTACTGAGACCTACTTTCGTCCATGTTTGAAACAGTTTTTTCAAAGGTACCGTATCGTATCATCATCATCTTTGGCTCTACAATCCTCTGTGGATCTTGGCCTGCTCCAAGATTCGTCGCCATTCTGTTCGGTTTCTGGCAACATGTTGCCATCTTCTGATTTTTAATATCCGTAAGTCGGTTTCAACTCCATCTAACCACCTAATTCGCGGTCGGCCTTTGCTTCTTCTTCCTAAAGGTTTTCCTGTGGTTAGCTTTTTAGCAATCCTATTTTCTGGCATTCGTATTATGTGTCCAGCCCATCTAAGTCGCTGTGTTTTAATGAACGTTATGACATCTGGCTCATCAAAGAGCTGATATAATTAAAAATTATATCTTCTGCGCCACTGCCCTTGGTCGTTTATAGCTCCAAATATTTTGCGGAGTATTTTACGCTCCAAAAGTCTTTCATCTTTCTGCGTTAGAGTCCATGTTTCCGCTCCATATGTAAGGACCGGCCTCAGCAATGTTTTGTATATAATAATTTTAGTTCTTCTTTGAATGTTTCTTGAGTGGAAATGCTTTTGGAGTCCATAGTCTGTTCTGTTTGTAAGATTTATCCGTCTTTTGATTTCTTCGCTTGTTTTATTGGTAGCAGTCAATAGCGAATCAAGGTATGTGAAGTTGTCAATATGTCCAAAGGTATGACTTCCAAAGACTGTTTTGTCTTCGTTGATGACTAGACCGACCTGTTTCGCCACTGTTTCCAATTCTAGGAGATATTGCTCAACATCTTGCTTGCTACGCCCTATTATGTCAATGCCATCAGCATATGCGAAGACTTGTATAGATCTAATGTAAATAGTACCGCCATCCCTAATTCGTGTATCTCGGACTGCCTTTTCTAAGGCAATATTAAATAGGAGGCAAGCCAGAGCATCCCCTTGTCTGAGTTCATCCTTTATCTCAAAGGATCTAGAATTCTCTCCCTGTATTCTAACAGTGGCTTCTAAGTTAGACATTGTCATTCTCGTTAATCGGATAAGTTTCTCTGGTATACCAAACTCATGCATTGATTGGTATAGCACTGTTCTCGTGACACTGTCGTATGCGGCGTTGAAGTTGACGAATAGGTGATGGGTTTCAATATTGAATTCTAATGTTTTTTCGGGAATCTGTCTTATTGAACGAATCTGGTCAATTGTTGATTTTTCTGGAGTGAATCCAGCTTGATATTTACCAACTATGCCCACTGTGTAAACTTGCAGCCTTTCGTAGAGAATATTTGCTGGTATTTTGTAAGCAGTTGTTAACAGGGTTATACCTCTATAGTTGTCACACTGGAGTTGGTCACCTTTTTTATGCAACGGACATATCACGCCTTGAGACCATTCACAAGGCATGGTCTCATTATGCCAAAACAAGAAGTAAAAGCTTATGTAGTGTCTGTAGTAGGCCGTATCATATGCCTTCTCTAAATCTACAAACAATAGGTGGGTAGATACATTCATTGCCCTCCGTTTTTAGATTACCTGCTGCAGAACGAATATACCGTCAATGCGCGATCTTCCAGCATGAAATCCATTTTGTTCTTCTATGTTTTCATATTCTGAATTTATTTTTATTATTCGACCGTACAACCATACATGGCAATTACATGGATTTAAATATTTATTTATCATCTATTGCTTGGGTAAATGATGCAGTTTAGAGCTTCTATTTACTGGTATTGTCTATTTTATACTTTTAAAAAAATACCACACTTCTACTTTTCTTAAATTGCTTTCTTGGAACTTACGCAAATTAACTATTAATAAGAAATTATTATTATTAAAAATGGGCGAATTTGGCTTACAAGGCAATCTATTGACAATTATCTAAAATTTTCTCAGGTATGGTTATAATGTAATACACTTTCAGATATCTGGTTTTTCTAACTACAGAGAGGTCTGGATGCAAGAATAATGGAGAATCTCAAGTCTTTCTGGAAATATATAAACGATAAATGGCACAACCATAGTCTACCCAGCTCAATATTTTATGGCAATCAAACTACTATCGACGAACAAGAGATGGCAAATTTTTTTAAGGTAATTAATAAGGTATTTTTCAATATGTCTATACTGACAATCAAAACACTTCGCATCATCTTGAAAATACCATTGTGAGTATTATAGTATAGTAATACCATTAAGTGCAGAGAAATTTCAAAGCTAGAAATCTTTAAGAAAATTGCGGCTCTTTGAAATAAATTTACAAATGATCCTAATGGAATTACTAACATGTTGCTAAAAAAATTTGTACAGCCACTGTACTACTATTGTACTACTCTACTATTTAACAAGTTTTTGTCATCTTCAACTTTTGCTAACATTTGGAAAGAAAGCTATCTTGTTCAAATTTTTAAAACCGGACAAAAAATAACATTGAAAACTATTGCAGCATCTGTATCCAATCTGCAATACCAAAATTATTTGATTGTCTAGTTAACAAGCAGATTTCTTCAATGTGCAAGGGTCTTATATGTCAAGAGTGGCATGCTCTAAAAACAAATCAACTTTGACTAATCTATTAACAAATCAACTTGATATTCTAAACAACATTGAAAGAAGTAAGCAGACTAATTCAATTCACACAGATTTCTTTAAGGCCTTTAATCATATTGATTAGGAAATACTGTATATACAAGTTGATTTTGAATAGGTTCAACACAAACTTTGTTTCTTGGTGGAGAAGCTCTTTCACTGGTCATATTCAAAGAGTTAAAATAGATTGTTATTTTTCTGAGGAAATTGTGGTCACATTTAGTTTTCCATTCCATCTATTATGGTCTCAAATTTTGGAAAACCATGGAAAGTATTTCTGATCAGGAACTGCTTCAACTATACACAGCATACAATGAACCCGAGGTCATTACATCCATAAAGATTGGATGTCTGCGCTGGATGGGCCATGTTGAACGGATGTTGGAGAATCACCAAAACATATAATGAGGCAAACACCAGTACAGAGAAGGTCAAAGGGAAGACCCAAACTTAGATACATGGAACAAGTGGAACAAGATCTGAAAACACTTAAGATTACCAACTGGAAAAACAAAGCAAGGAACAAAACAGAATGGTAGAAAATACTAGAAGAAGCCAGGACCTAGAAAGAGTTGTCGAGCTACTGCTGATGATGAACTGCTTCAGGAGGACTTAAACCGTTTGTCAGAGTGGTGCCAAAAAATAAGCTATATTTAAATAACAACAAATACAATTTTATAAGTTTCTCTGGGAACTCTACTAGGATTGAGTCAAGTTACTACATTGATAACTTTTTGATTGATAAATAGGTCTATGCTGGAGTACTGTTCAGCCATATGGTCTCCTTATTCCTTAGGGAGGGTTCAGCATAAATGCCTACAGGTGTGCGCCTTTCAAAGTGGGGTTAGAATAGTAGACCATGACTACACTATCATGGAGAGGTCTATAAGCTTGCCTGCTCTAAGTATAAGAAGGGATCTGTTTGGTTTAACTTTGATTTTTAAATTAATAAATGGTAGAATTGATTGTCCCTCTTTTGTCAGTCAGATTGGTCTTAAAGTACCATATTACCATGGTTTCCATCATCTACATACTTTTAATGTTCCATTTTGAAGAATAATCTATGGTGCTAATTGCCAATGAATAGATACATATCTTTGTTAAACAACCTGAATGTAGATGTATTTAACATGTCTCAATAAATATATAAATATTTCTAAAAAAGAGGTACTGGTACCTTACAAGTTTGGAAACTTAACTTGATTGTAATAATACTTTAAGTTTTTATTGTAGGTAATTTACATGCATGTGTATGTGTATATATATTTTTAGTCTGCATTATTTAGTGGTATTTAACTTTGTTACCTTATAATACTGTGTACTTAACCACTATTTTCTATATTGTAAATTGTAATGTTTAAAGGGGTTGTCCCATATATTAAATTAATAAATAAATAAATAATACAGTATTCTTTCTTGTAATCATTTTGCTGGCTAAGATTGCCTTCAAATGTTTCTGTCTGATATATCTGACCCTCTTTAATCCCTTCTATAAACAAGTTTCTTACCAGGGCAGATTGCTGACCTTGAATTTATTACTACTTGACCAAATTGGTCAAGTAGGCCAAATTAGTGTTAACATGGAATCAATTAACAACTCCTCTAACCAATGTTGTTAATTAAGTTGGCATAAATCATGCAATTCAGTGATAATTTGATTATAAAAAATAATATATTTAAGTATATGATGTTTCATTTTCATAAATTATAGAGGAACCAACAGATGAAGTACCTTGTGAATTTGGGTTCAATAGGTCTTCTTTTCATTCTGATATTATTGTGTCCTTAAAGAAAAAGATCAAATGCCTTGAAACTTAATACTCTTAGTATAAGGAAAAGTTCTATTGAATTTGGGGTCAACAGGTCTTCTTGTTCTCATATTCTGATACCTTTTCTTTTATTTGAGTAAAAAACAATATAATAATTCTTCTTCACATATTCTGATGTTTGTTCAAATCCTTAAAAGGCAAATAAAGTCTTGAAACTCAATATATGAGTTTCTGTTGGTATTACATTCAAACAATTTACAGGGTCTTTCAACAATTAATTATTCCAGTTTCACAGAAATTTTGGAAATGATTAAATTATTAATGAATAGGAAACAGTTAAATTTAAATTTCCTGGTTATTGTAAATAAATTGAAGCAAATAAAAAAGGAAATTGGAGAAAAACCAAAATAGGAAATCACATAAATAAGCTATTTTAAATATGTTGTTAGATTCTCTAAAATTATTTTTTTTTTCTAATACAAAAATCCTTTCCTTTTAGTGGAGAAAACGAAAAAGAACCAAGGTATATAGCTTCAATGTTGTTAGTATTTTGCATATTGAATCTTCTGGGCTGAACTTTTCCTGTGATTATATTTAAAACATTACAATTGTAATCCATAACAATATTATTAGAGAAAGTTTCTACAGTATTTAGCACCTAATCTAGGTGGTTTCAACTAGAAGTCATTAATTCAAATTACCCATATACAAAAGATGATTAAGCTTTGAGATGACTAATTATTATTATTATTATAAATAAAAAACTGACCATTCTTAAATTAAATTTTACTAATTCTTTACACTAAAATGTGATAGTATGTTCAAATTTTTTATACAAACTTGCAAAAATGGATAATATGCATTAAAGTAGTGTGCAAGTTAACTAATATTAAAAAAAATAAAAAAAAGTCATCATGGTATACAAAGTTGGAATTATATATGTGCACCAACATCACACAAGCTACAAATAAAAGCTTTCAAAGTCAATTAAAAATCATTTTTTATATGCTGGATGAGCTTATTATATAACTATAAATCTTTTGAGTTTCAATAAAGTTATGTACCAATTTCTATATTCAATTATGTATTGAATATGTTGTTTATATATGTATATTTGGCAAAATAGATTATTAACTTACCTGAAACCATAAGGCATTGACCACTTTACTTAACAAAAACAAAGGTATAACCCATACAGTTTTAAATACAATGGATACTAAAGGTTCTATCCACGACCATATTAATTTACCCATAAATGATTCCCTTCCAAATACTGTTACCAATAATTGATTTATACTTGGTAGAAATACATATTCAAATAAAAGAAGACTTATTAGAAATATTCCTCCATTGAGTGTTCCACATTGCATGATCCTCTTTATGACTTTTGATTCTCTAAAAATTATTAGAATAGACAAAACTAACAGGTACTTAATATTTAAATTGCTTACTCATGTCTCTTTAGTTGCCTTAATGGTGTCCCTTCTTTAGGGTCTATAGGTTTTTGCCTAACAGAGTTTAGTCTCGTTGGAGACTGTCTGGTTATTTTACGTTCATTTATTTCTTTATCTAGATAAATAAGTGCATACATTCCAGTAAAACTGTCGAATACACCTCTAAATACAGCATAAATAATTTTCTGAAAAACAACTAATTAAACAAAGAACTCCTGGGTCTTATAAAACTTACTTGTATATCCATTATGTTACCTACAAATATACACACTTTGTAAATAATCTATTTTTGTAATTTAATAGCTTTAGAAAAATAATTTAGCATTTTTCACAAATTTACTAAAAATTTTTGTAAACATTTAGTAATCAACATCTGACAATATGACAGTTGACAACAGATAGATTATTTATTATTTGTCTATGTTCTGTTCATTTTCATTTATTTATAATTGAATGTTCTATTATTGACAAATGACAGTGTTAGATGCAGTACGGTAAACATAATAAAGTAAAATAATAATTAGAAGAAATAATTTTAAAAGCAAATATTATGGATTTAACTCATTTAAAATAAATTTCCATAATTATATGAAATACACAAATTTTAAATTAAAATCTGATGTTTGATCTTTTAACTTATACGTTAATACTGCCTGATTATATTAAAAAGTTTCAGTTTTGTACCGTTTATTCATAAAAATCGAAATAATTTGATATTAAGTTATAAATCTAAAACGTCTAAACAAAACAATTCAAAACCAAATTGTAATCAAGATATAATCAAGATATGTCATTAGATTATTCCTTGATTTCATATGGTGGCATAATAAACTGACAACACTGCGCTTGTATTAAAGATAAAGAATATAAACTGCAATAAGCCTATAATACTACTAGTTATTATTGATATATATTGAATTTTAAGAAGTTTAAAATTTAACTTAAATTAAATACCAAATGTAACCAATTAAAATTACTGGACAAGAAACGTTCATAAATAGAATGAATGATGACACCAATCACACGTTTCATAAGTGATTTCATTGGCAACACTGTATTGCCTTGACGTTTCTTAAGTGAATGCGAAGTACCGTGTAGGTGAACGTGAACATATAAATATTTTATTGTGTATTTTTGGGAAAATTTCTCAGCAAAACATAAATCTTTTTGAATCTAAGGCACATAACATCAAATATGGGCGTATGATTAGGTTATAGACTGGTAAGTTGTTTTGGCAATGTCATTTTGGGCTATTGAAATTTCCATTATTTGCGTAGAAAAAGTGGGCACAAATTCATTGTCAGTAGAAATGTCACTATTTATTAAATTGCTTTTAACTTCTTCCGCGTACATCATTTCACAATACTTATTTCGGATTAAAACCTAAAAGATTTGGCTGGTTTGATTATTACATTTATTATTGATTAAATTGATGGCAGGAGATAGTCAAGTTGCTGAAATCTATCACATGCTTATACATATATTTTTTTAACGAATTTCAGGACAATCTTCTTTAAATCCAGATTGGACTGCTATCCTGAGCTGTGGAACTTCACGTTCAGTGGTGAGTAGAGGTCAAAGTATTAATATATAGTTTTTACAGTATTTTTCATATCTAATGAGGTTGATTTGTTTCCTAAAATACCACCTACATAGTTTACATGTACAAATAAAAACAATTGTATCTGCGCAATAATATTTACTTAATTCAATACCTAAAGATACAATTATTTGTGTATTTCTTTAAACATAGAATTTTTAAGCTATATATATTTTATAACTGTAAACTCTGTCCTGTCATACTTACTATTTCAAAATATTATTATCTTAATCAGTTTGTTTTCAAACATATCTTTTTAATGAACTTATTTTTTCTTAATTAAACAATTTTTATTATTAACACATAATATACAATACTTGATGTTTTTCTTCTTTTCCAATCCTTAAGAGATGGATCCTTGTTGGTGATCAAATATAAATGTAATCTTACTAGTCCCCAGTTATTCCACAAAATACTTGTTACCATTTGTAACTACCATGTGGTTAGGAAGTTCTTGAGATTTTATAAATTACTTAGTGGGTTTTCTCTTTCATAGTTTCACTTATAAAATAGCTGAATGTAAAATTGGAAATATGAATTACAAAATTCACCAAATTTATATTTTTGCTTGATTATGCCTTGAATATTAATGTATTCAGTTATCCCATCAATATTTACCACCTTCTTTATCAATTAACCAAAAAGTGTGTACACATGAATGAGTGCATGCACATGAAGAGTGAGTATTTGATTTAAATGTTAAAGTGGTTATGGTTATGGGTGCTGGCAGCAAAGTGCAAGTGGTGCATCTGCACCCCCTGGACAGAAAGTAGGCACATAGCTATACTTGTATAGTTCTATATTGGTTAATAGTATGTGTAGATGCGATACACCCTCTGAAAATAATTCTGACAGCACTAATGGTTATGATAAATATAAAATGCCAAGACTTAATAGAAAATTAGAGCTAGGTTTTCTTTTGTTTATTAATAATTGGATGATGTTACCTATTAAGATTAATACATTTTTCCTCTAGCATTTTTCAGTTTTTATTAGATACCTTCTAAATAAAATTATATAATTGAATAATTCTTATGATGGATCAATAATTGGAAATAAAACAAACAATTCTGGGAATATTTTAATTCTCTTTTACTGATATTTTAGAAAGGTCAATAGGAATTTAAAATATATATGCTTTAAATTTTAAATTGTTTTATTAGTATGTATTTTTTAGATGATATTCTAGGATGACTTTATTTGAGGATAGTTTATTTCATTACATAAAATTTTCAAAAAAAAAGAGTCCTGATAATATGTAATTGTGTATGTGTTAATTCCATATCCATTGTTTACATGCATTTGTCTATCCAAATTCTATAAATTTATCACCTTTTAGTGTAACATTCCTGTTGATTTAGTCTAACATTCAGTGGCCTTGACGTTGCACACAAATAAAGATTTTGCAGTCATATAGTAAATACAATCCTTTGTTTTCTTATTGATAATTATGTTTAGCCTCAATTAAACTAGTTCTAAAATAGAGGTTATGTTAAATATTATTTCAATACTTGGATTTATTTCCTATTCTGTTTTTATGATCATTTTTGTAGACACATAGAGTGTCATATATCATTATATCATATTTTGTTTTTAAATAAAGAGCTACATTTTTTTATTATTTGGAGGGTGATATTCGAAAAGTAGCAATATATCTTACTTACTTTTGTCCTCCGACATAGACTCTTATATTGAGAGTGTTAAAGTGATAGGGAGACAATTCTGTCTCTTCCATTTTCCTCTGCAACTTTGTGTGTCATTCATATACAATTGGTACCATTGTATACTCTGTCTCACTCTATCTTTTAGCCATAAACATTTAGTTGTTATAGTTGTTCTTATTCTATAAACAAAATTTTGGTCTAGCAATGGGCTCTAGTTTATCTCCATTATTAACTGATATACTTATGGAAGATTTTGAAACAAATATTATTTCTAAATAAAATTTAAAACTTACAGTATAGTGGAGATATGTAGAAGATGTATTCTCAATATGGACTTGTGGATCAGATTTGTTGGGCACATTCTTAAATGATATAAATGAAGGGGTGAGTGGATGAAGGGAGTAAGTAACAAAAGTAAGTTTTTGAGAAATTTAACTCCAAAGTTTTATTGCTGGAACTTTTTTATTAATAGATTTTTTAAACCGTTTTTTTTTTTTATTCTCACAGGTAGGATATGTATAAATTTTATTGTAAAAACAAAAATCTCCCCGATTTTTAAAAACTTATTTGAAAAATATATATTTGTACTTACCTCTTTTATCCAAAAACTTTTTTGTGTTAGAAATTATGTCTATGCCAAAATGAAGGGGGTATGTGGACTTACCTCCTTCATCTAGGATAAATATTTGCTTTTTCTTTTGAATAAGCGCTATAATCAGAAAAAAAATAACATGGATGTCAAGTAAACACTTATATTTTTGATTTTACAAAGGGGTGACAAACACTGAATTTCTAAGCATCTTTTGAATCAGTCTAAGGATATTGTATCACCTTCTTAAAATTGTCGTTGCTCTATGATGGCTTCATAATACCACTTATCTTTTTCTGGAATGAAGCAAAGCTGTTCTTTTAGATTGTCTAACTTTTCGTTGCTTAAGGATCCAGTATATTGGATATGTCTTGGAATGTTGAATTCTTCAGGTAGAAGGGATGGGAAATTTTTCTGCTTGAGGATACATACCATTTTGAAAGGTGTGTAATAATCGTAGGACTCCTTGAAAAGGTATGATCCAAAGACATCTACGCGAATCCACTTGATTCCAGTTTTGAAATTAACCTTTTCATTAAGAAGATCTTTCTTTCTATTCATTAGTTTCATATTTTTCATAATATTTTCGGTGTGTCTAAAGTGATGTTGCATGTCTATCACCATATTTTTCTTGGTTGAAAAAATAATCACATCACGATATTCATCAGGAATATAAATGTTTTGATGTTTCTTTAGCTGTTTCTCAATACGTCCAAATGCTCTATCCGAGTCTAAGTATGAGTGTCCTACCTCTGGAAACTTGTGCTCAATCGTTTTAAAAATGCCTTTGCCCACAAGATACTGAAACAAACATACCATCAAAAAATTTTTATTTTGCCCAGCACACGAGTCCGTCCACAAAATAAGATGATCTTTTCCTTTGAAGGCTGGATCCACTTCGATTGTTCGTAGAAAACAACTAAAAATTTCCGAGCTACCTCTGGAAGCTTGATTTTCCGTCCATGTGCAGAAAACAGTTTTTTCCACATTTTTGGTTATTATGTGGATTCCCAAGTTATAAAACCACATTTGTCTAAGATAAAAGGCTTTAGAGGTACTAAGCCTAGGTAGGGGCATAGTTTGCTGTAGATCCAATGTTACATACACAGTGTTATCTGATTTGCTAGCAAATTCTCTATCTGTTTTTTGAGATTCAAACGCTGATTTGTAATTTTCAGCGTGCTCTTCATTACTTTTGCCAGAATCGCATGTGCTACATGTATCGCTTTTGGGATAACCAAAAGACAGATTAAATTCATTATTAAAAATGAATCGGTATGTAGCCTCTTTTATTTGAAATTTTTCATTTCTTCCGTCAGTTCGGCATTTGTCTAGGTAAAGTTTATGCATTCTAGGGATCGAAAGTTGCGGTGAAAGATATTTTTTGTGAATATTACAATGCCTGGAGTAGTGCGACTCTTCTGCTGGGAAACTGGAAATATGCTCAATGACGTAAGAAGCAACTTCAGCAGGGGTCTTGTTAGGTCTAACTGCGTGTTTTCCCCTTCTGTCCGGTTCAGGAGCATTTTTCCCTGATTTTATTGAAGTTTGGATCAGGTCAACCTTTTTCAAGCTGATTGCAAACAAGGAAATGAAAGCCCGTTTGCATACGGTAGTTTGCCGGCCACTACAAGTTACATTGTATTGGTAGGTGGCAGTTTTATGCTTTAATGCTCCAGTTTTCTTTCTCATTGGTTCCTTTTTTTTAATGCTCTTAAAAAGAAGGCAGTTTTTTGCATTTACATCTAGTTTGTAGTAGGAAGAAAATATAGATTCCCTTTCTTCTACAGTTATTGACTGAGAACACTTGTAGCGGCAATTTTCATTGCACAAAATCCCAGAGTTAACGGTTTTAGCGGGTTTTACTTGGCCTATTTTAGAAATGTAGGCCAGACCACTTTCTCTGCACTTGGCACGTTTTCGTGCTTTCCATTGTTCAATATTTTTCTGTCTTTTTCTAGTTACTTTTACTTTTAGTGGAAATATTTTCTTCTTGCTTTTAGTGGGCAAGTTAAGAGCCTCTTCATTTCCATTTTCAGGAAGGGCAACGATCTCATCATATGGAATATTTCCGTTTACTTGTAGTTCAAAATGTATATTGCCATCATTCATAATCTCATTTTCAGTTTCTTCACTCACCACTTCCTTATTGCCTTCCTCATTTCCATCCTCATCTGATTCGATATCATCTTTCTCATTTTCATTAGGAACGTATTCATCTCTTGAGTCATCACTAAATAATGATGAAAGGCTTTCATCATCTGAATCAAGTTTTTCTCCGTAATCTAAAACAGAACATTAGCATAAGCCTAAATTTGCCTGGTTTAATTTCAGCTGTTAAGAAAAACAAAACATTAGTTATTAATCTGGTCTGCTGATTTAAGTCCCTATTGACAGTCAATGATTAACAGAAAATAATTACTGTTAAATAAGCTAAGTACCACATTTGAAGGCAACAATCACGTGGGTCGGATAGTGTAATTGGTTAAGACACTCACCCAGAGTGAGACATCAGAGTTCTAATACCACCTTACCATTTCATTAGATTTTTTTAACTAGCCCATTGTTCAAATAATATGTATTTCTAATGTACTTACGTAGTTTTTTGTAAACTCCATGTTTGTTTTTGTTGGATGGTCGTGTACGTTCTGTACCTTGGATTTTCAGTTCTAGTTCATCAGAATGATTCTGATAATTTGAGCTACAAGGTT